AACAGACATGCGGATTTGATATATAGACGCTTTGTTGCAGACCGCTCGGCGTGCTTGTCTCGGAGAATCACCCCAAATCTAGCATTAGACCGGGTTCACTGGATTTCCCCTTCAAAGGTTGCAATTCACAGGCGTTGTGCATTACAACTGGCACTTTTGGAGGTTCTAAAACAGGAGATGGCTCGGAAACCCTAATAGAGCCTGGACTTGTTGGTTCGCCATTCTTTTTGCTTGCTGCCAACTATCGGCGCTCGCCGCTTTCTCAGTGATTGCAAGACATGAACGCCCGACGATAGGAAAAGGGACTCTGCAATTCAACAGGGAAATCGGAAGCCTCGTCTTTGTGGAGTGCGTGATTTGCACGAGAGTGAAGAAATCAGCCAGACCATATTCCTCTACTCGGTGAGGCTTCAATGTTGACATGCAAGAGAAAGAGAGACTCAATCTCAAGTTTCGAATAGGTTGCCCCTTTGTCAGTTGAGCGGGTGACACAAAATTGCAGCTCGCGTGGACCAGACACCGCTCTTGCTTGATTGTTGTTTGATTTTTCCGGCTGAGTTGCTGAGTTGTCAGGGGGAAGAATCCACGTTGATAGTCTTGTCAGCCCCCACGATGCGTGCCGCGCTTGAAATTTCGGAGCCAGCAAACTGCTTTCCATGAGCCGAACAAGTTTTCATGATCTTGCTGGCATCGATCGATGAGAGTTGAAAGCGAGTGCCCGTTCAAGGCCTTCGTTGGGGTTGACATGGATGGTCCATCCCAGGGTTCGAAAACCGGAAGTCCAATGAGAGTCATGACCAGTCTTGAGCTCTTGCTGCCTCCTTGCAGCTTGTTTCGAGTCCGAACTGTTTCTGTTGGAAAGCACACTATGCGGGATTGACAGAAAGTCTGACTGCGAAGTATCATTCTGTTTCAACGCCACTCAAGCAACGAGCCATCCAAAAAAAATCTGAACTGCGATGGCTGCATGAAACTGAACATAGCTCCCTGAAGAATGGGTTCTTGCCCCAAAACTATCGGGGTGGATTCCCTTTTTTATGGGTAGTTTTTTAGATGAACACGCAAAGCAACAACACCAGTTCTGTGGTCCAGCCCCCTATTTTTTTGACACAGACTCACATGGTCATGGGTCAAAATCCAAATCGTCCCCCCAGTGAACATCAACCAATCGTACTAAAATAGGTTCTAAAATGGGTGGTGCATCTACCCAAAATGGCACCATTGGTTTTGAACCATGGCCACATGCCCAAAACGATGCCCAAAACGAAGCCAGGAGTGGAACGACACGGCCCCGGCCTGGCAGAAGGTTGCGATCAACGACCGCATCACGGAGGCCGGTGCCAGAAGGTATGATATATGGCCGTGGGTCAAAACTAATGGGATCCCATTTTGAGGAAGGTGCACCACCATTTTAGTCTATTTTAGTGGGGATTGGGATGTTCACTGAAGGGTACGGGCTTTTGACCCACAGCCATATATGGGGGTGGATCAACAGGTCAACGAAATTCATGGAATGACCATTGATTGGAAAAAACACGCCAACAAATTGTTTTATATTTCAACGACAGGGGAAAAGTTACCCATGGTCATTTTGGGGGCAGGAATATTGTTCAACCCTATGTATGTTGTACTGATGTTAGATTTTATTTATGTATCATGGAGGCTGGGGGGAGGGAGGGGAGGGGGGAGGGAGCTCTTGTTGACCCGCAATAAGGCCTTATTTGGCCTCCTTTCCCTCCCCCCCAGGCCCTTTGAATGTAATTGGTTTCGTCCGTCCAATGCTCGAGACCCAATCCTGAAGCTTCCTATTTGAGCTCAAGTAGGCTCAACTGCCAGAAATTGGCATATTTTTCCTTGCTCAAGCAGGCATCACGACGATGCTGATTGTTCTGAAATGTTTCGAGGCCCGCGACAAGTTGACGAACAACACAAAGCAGCAACTTATCTCACCCACAAAGGCGTTTGATAGACACTCAGAGGGCTGGATGAAGCAGTCCTGTTGACGAGTTAATGAACAGGGCCACATTCCCAAGAGGACCGGGGCATGTCGACAGGTCTATTCGGATTTCCAAGGAATTGTCCCTGTAATGTGCCAGGCCCGAAGTGCAGAAGCGTTTGCGCCATGTACTTCAGGCTGTCCTTCCTGAATGTGGTGCTTTGATTTTCTTTGGCCGCATGACAATGACTTTCAACTTGGTTCTAGTACTGGATATGTGGTTTGCGTTGCTTATCAGCCCGGGGGGGCGGCGTGCGCGTTGCGGGGCGAGATCCAACCTGATGCGTTTCTAGCGAATCCCAGATTTGCAGTGCTCGAGCTAGAATTGGTAGCGACAGCTACGGTGTCTTCTGGTACCTTTAAGAATCAATATTTGTTTCTTCAATCAAGACAGCTCCTGGGGATTCCCTGCCCGAAACCTAGTCAATTTCCTTGTTTGCTGCTTTTTACTTGCAGAAATTGGCTCAAAACCAATGCACGCACATGCGTACATACAGGCCTGCAAACGTGCCTAGCTTCTTGAGTGCGTGTGTGTGCGTGCGAGCCTGCATGCGTGAGGTCGTGTGAGTGTGTCTGTGTCTGTGCTCTTTTGTTTGGTGTGTTTGTGTGTGTGTGTGTGTGGGTGTGGCTCGGTTTGGTCTGGTTTGGTTTGGTGTGCGTTGGCTTTTTGCATTGTTTTGCTTGGCGTTGTTTGTTTTGTTTGGTTTGGACTGTTTGTTGTTCTTCTTTCTTGCTTCTTTTTGTGTGTGTACATGTGTGCTTGCGCCGCGTGTGCACGTTGCGTGTCCCGGTTTGTTTGTTGTCATTGTCGATCCAGACCTGCACCTGTGCCGCTCCTCGAATTCGAGAGCGCACAGATCATGATTGTTGTTGGCAAACAATTGAAACATTTTTGCTTATTGTGGTTTAGTGATTGAAATCCAACCACTGAACTGCTAAAATCTGAAAATTGTTGCTCCCCTTCCAGCGTCAACAAAGAGATCGCATATTGGTCAGCCCTTGAAGGAGTTTTTTAATGAAGCCCTTGTCCAGCTCAGCACCAACACTCCGCCATGGCTGCCGTGCCGAGCGCACTATAGCTGTGGGCCAAGCAACTTGGAAGAACCCGTGTCCAAAAGCGGCAGATCCTTGAAATGCAGGGTTTGTGTTGAATTGTCTCATGTCCAAATTTCATTGGGTTGAATTTTCTTGTGTTGAATCTTCTGTTGAAATTTCTCATTTCTTGTGTTGAATTTTCTCGCCCAGATGGACCAATTTCATGTCCAAACATCATTGCCTTCCGGCTGCCCAGTAGGTGCACCATCTGAAGTCTAGGCTCCGAGGGCTTCTTGGTGCGAGTGAGGGCCGTTCCGCAGCGTGCAGTTCGGATCAGTTTTGGACACAATTTTGGACACGGTGTTGGACACGGTTTTGGACGGGTTTCGGACACGGGTTTCGGACTTGTTTGGCGGACTTGTTTTTGTGGCAGGATGAGTCTGGACACATAATCAGGTCGCAGGGAAGCAATCTTGCTGTGAAGCATGGCAGTTCTGCATACGCACCATGTTCGGGGCTTTCTTTCTTTTTTTTGCTATCATACTGCGCACAGCTGATTTTGGAGTCGGCAATCTGAGATATCCGTGCTTGAACGAGGAAGGAAGGGTCCCTGCAAACAGTAAGGGAAAAAGGAAGCCCCACTAGTCCTCAAAAGCGCACTGTTGCTTCTGGTGCGGAATCTGAGATTTGTGACCACTGCTCCATTTAATCCGCAGCTTTTTGAGCAACAGTTTGCCCAGAGTGAAATCAGCTTCTCCCCTGCTTTCTTGCTGCTAACTAGCTTCATCTCCTCTAAGGCATCCACAGAGGCCTGGGCATTTTCGGACGTGTTGCAGAGCTTCCAGATCTGCGCAGATCCCGACTTTCGATTTGTTTCAGGGACTCCTTCACAAGCCTGAGCATGCCCATGTTTTGTTCTTATAGCCTGCGAAATATGGAAGCTCTGAGGACTGATTTCCTTTTGGGAAGGCTGTGCTCATTTTGATAACACGTAATAATGCAAAGACCCCAAATACTGTGGACGGACGAAATCCTGCACCACTTGGCACCACGCGTAACCATTGTTAGTTAGTATTTACGTTGAATCGAAACATTCCGCGTCTGAACGGTGGGGCCTAGGTTTTGGGGAATCCACAGAATGAGGGGCTTTCACCCCGAAGGCCTCAAATGAGGTCAACCGGTCTCTGGCCGCAGCTGAGGCAGGCAGACGTCCGGCGCAGGACACAGCTTCCGGCTTGCGAATCACTCAGGAAGAGTATCAACTGTCACATAGCTGGAAGTTCCCTCCCTTTTCACATGGAACCTGAGGTTCGGATCCCTTTAAAGAAAATGCTCCAAAGGACCCCACAAACGTCAGAATCCATGTGAATTGGTTGGAGGCTTATTGTGTTGGTCATGTTAGTGCAACAAATGGTTGATCATGGTTATTTTGCAACATTTCTGCAGCTACTTACGTGTTTGAGGAACGGCCCGTTTGTATCCAGGTTGTTTAGAATATGCTGGGAGGCCTTTGCCAGTCGCTGTTATCAGCTCAGTAACGTTTGTCCAAGGTGCGATTAGCCAACTAAGAATAAAGGACAACTGTTGCCCCTTCGAAACGTACAACAACATATCCTGAGGCAAGAGCAAGCATGTCTCTGGGATTCCCGTCTGACCCGAACCTCGGTTCATGCTTGGCAGAACAGCCCCAACTGCCTTTGAGTCAAGTTTCCGCCCGCTACCACTTCCTGGCCCAAAGGCCTCTGTGTTTGTGTGACCTGTTGTGTATAGTTGGCGCATATACTGTCACTCTTGCTTACCTCACATGGTGAATGTTGTTTTCTTTGGCTCCTTCTTTTTCTCCAACGCCGCTTCTTTACATGTAGCAATTAGCAGGTAAACAGCAGGTGCTTTTTAACGTGGTCAAAGATGCAGGCCAAGATGTTCATGATTCTTAGGTGTCAACCTCACTTTCTGCACTTTCAGCAATGAAAAACACTTCCCATCGTTGACACTGGATGGGTTCAGCGGTCAGCCGGCCCAAAAGCGCTCCTGCAATGGCCACTCGACAGGCTGGGCCGGCGGTGTTCACGGGCCTCAGGTTTTAGTTTTTACTACCCACTGATCTGGCATATGGGTGCGAGCCATTTGGCGGCATTCTACGTAGGTTGAAGGGGATGCTCATCAGTTGACTCAGCACCTGCTGCCAAAACCCGTGTTTCAGCGGCACGCCAGTCTCAGGTGTCTTAAGCGACCATATGTGATGTTGATGGCTTGCACCAAACTTGTATCCACCTTATTTTCTTGGCGATTGGGTTAATCATCCCGGTGGCAAGGTCAACCAGGATTTGCCGATGACACGATGTGGAGATCCTTTGGGCTCAGTGGTCGACGAAAAATTGGAGTGGGCTCAGCGGTCAGCGCGGCAAGTTCCGGCCATCTCCTGTTCTGTGCTTTCGCAGACCTCCACTCCGTGGACCTGTGTGGGGGTTGATCAAAAGGTCCTTTACGTAGGATGACCATTGGTTGGAAGACCACTAAACAGATGATATTTTTGACATAGGAAAAGTTACCCATGGTGCTTTGGGGGCCAGGAGAATTGATCGACCCCCATGAGAAAGCGTGAACCTGTGGCCCAGACACCCAGAAATCACCCGGCGCGCCGTATAGCCGAGAGGAATCTCTGCAAATGGGAATGGGTGAAGGTTAAATTGAACCACCCGACAACCGCAGGTTTTAGTCCATGTTTCCAAGGGCAACCCATTTCGGGCTTACCTTTTTTTGGACAGCCAAATGGATGTGTCTTGTTTTAGGGGACCTTTTAACTGGTCTTTTTCCTGTTTGGCTTTCCTTTTAAGACCAACCAAAACTCTACCGCTATGGGGTTGGATCTTTAGACTTTAACTTTTTGGATTCCCTTCATATTTCCTTTTAAGCAGCAATAAGTTTTGTTTTTTTTTTACTAGAGGATCTACAGCACCCAAGAAAAAGGTGGGTCCCCCGCAAAAAAGGACCGCTGGGGAGGTTTCCCTGACGTTTCGGGCAGGTGGTGCTGCTGGTGGGCAGCGCTGCACGCTTGGTGGAGGCAGTGGAGGCTAGTGGCGGTCAAGCCCAGGCGAGGCTGCACTGAGAGATTTTGGGCGAATTGTGGGGCAAGTTTCTTCCATTTGAATATGTTTGTTATTTTCCCTTGTTGGTTTTCAAGGGAATTAATCACTGCTGGACATATTCTTATTTTTTCCATGGGGCTAAAGCAAATGGAAGGTTTGAAAAGTGGATCAACTTGAGTCAACTTGAGTCAACTTATGCGTAAACATCGGCTGTTTTTTTTCTGGAAAGAGAAGCAGCTAAAGAAAAGTTCCTGTCCGTGTGGAGGCGAATGGAAGCCAATCTCCGTGGGCCTGGGGGTCCAGGGAGCCCCCAGCATATCCCAGGAGCCTAGAATGAGCACGGACTCCCGATCAGAAATCCGGTCGAGAAACGTCGTCAGGGATTGGATACGACGAAATAAATACATTATATATACACCTTGAACCAGCACTCAGGTCTTCAGCAGAATATGACCTTGACACATGCCTCATTGCTATCATGCAAAGATCCGCTTATGGCGACAAACAGTCCCAAAGAAACTGCAACCGGATGCTGTGCATCTGCCAATCTAGTGCTGCGAGCGTTGGTGCTTGAGCGTCTCGATTCTCAGCCGGTTCACTTCGGTTGCGCCGATTTTGGAGGTGGCTGACTCCGGAGAGGCCCCAGAGCTTCTGAGGCGCGATCTCAGCTTCCAAGTCCCACCGATGGAAGGGATTCTGCTCAGTTCGGTAGCCGGGTGCGACACAACCCACACTTGTGGAGTCTCAAAGCCGCATGGAATGGACATGTTGTTTCCAACGGAAGTCTCAAACGGACTCACGGAGTCAAAGAGACGTCAACAATGCCAAGCAAAGCTCTATTTCGATTCTTACATCCATGTTCCTTGCTAACCAACGAGAGTTTTGGAAGGGGTCTAAGAGGCCAAACATCTCAAGAAACGCCAGGGTTGGCTAAGCCACATCCCTTCATAGCAATTTACAGGGATAGCATCGGCCTCTTCTTACGTTGGATGCAGGTGCCCGTCGTCTGGGCGACTTGGAACCCGCTCCGACTTTTGTCTAACTTGTTGCCAGCGAACTGTCAACCAGACACGACACGTGACCGAATGTGTTGTCAGAGATCGGCCGCGCACCGGGGCTGAGGTTTTTCCACTCTCTGGGCATCCATTTGCTTAAGAACTGTTTTTTTTTTCCCTTTGTAGTTTTAAAGGGAACCTATCACTACTTTTTTTTCCCAGGGGGCTTAAGCAAATGGAAGCTGGGCATGTCTTGAATGGTATCAGAGAAGAACAGCCGCCCGCACTGCCGGCAAGCGAGTCTCTCCCCCGCCAGGGAGAGGCCACTTTGCAAAAGCTGTCCGTGGGTCAACACCAATGGTACCATTTTGGGATAGGTGCACCACCCATTTTAATCTATTTTAGTGGGGATTGGGATGTTCACCGGGGGTACGGGGTCAAAGCCAACTGACCGCGCTTTTCTTATTGGGCACTTGTGATTCACGATCATCTTGTTGCGTCAGTGCAAGTCTTGCACATGCCGTGCTTAGCGGCCCTAGCGCTGTCAAACGCATGTTTAGCTGTGCAAACATAGGTCCTTTGGAACCTGCTTTCATTTCAATTGGCTTGTTCATTGAACGAAAACAGGTTTCTCAAAAATGGTGGAGCCCTTCTGGTAATTTCTCGGGGAACCTTTGAGGAACGCCGCTGCCATGGGTCTCTTACCAACCCGACTCGCCAAAAAACGCATTTAGAGTTTCGAGGCGCCTGGGGCCCTCGGTGGCCTGCGTGGTCTGCGAGAACCCGGGGCTGCTGCCGGAACTGCGGAAAGGCGGGCTCGAAACGGGTGGGGAATGAAGACGTTCCCTCTGGTTTCCTTTAAGGGGACGGGTTTGAAGAGGGGATGGATGAGAACTTGGAGTCTACCCTCTGATCATGACAGCTAGTAGGAAATGGGATGGATGAACACTTGGGGTCCACGCTTGTTCAACATGGAAGCTTCTGGTCCCAAGGCTGTGAATAGAAAACCAAACCTTCCGAAGTCCGAGGTTCGGAACCGCCTGGCGGGTCTTTTGCAACTGGGGGCTTGGTTTTTAGTATGGGCGGTCGGGCGAGGGGGTTGGGATGGGGTAGTTTAGGGCCTAAATATATCCAGGGGCACTTTGGAGCCAAATTCGCTGGGCAGGGCCTTCATGATATGGTACTTGGATGCATTGCTTGTGCCTCATCTGGGGTAGCAAACAATAGAGTATGCACTCTATTGGCCTTAAGTCTAATCAGGTCGTGGGGAATCTTTTGCGTAATCATTTAGCCCCGTATATTAGGCCCGGTGGAAGGTGAAAAGCGTGCTGGATCGATGTGTGAGGCGGTCTGGGAGGTGCCAGTCGGAGAGCGGGTGAAGAAAGTTGGTGGTTCTCTGGATGGAATATCGGCATGTGCGAGAGCTAGCAGTTGATGATTCGAGTTGTTCGACCAACCATAGATCCAAAAATAGGAGCGATTCGATTGGGAAGGCCACAATCCAAGGTATGTTTCCAAAGCAAGTAACCGGCTATGAGCCCTATGTGTTTTGGGGCTCATTTGGCATTAATCGCGTTGCACCCAGCACTGCGAGCTCTGTTTTCATTTGGGGCCTTGGCTGCAAGACAAGCTCCATGACGACGCGGATGTAGCCAGGGCCGATCACTATCGTAAGTCTTAAGCCAAAGGAGGCCAGATCAGGCTCATCAATGTGACGCGGAGGCTATGACGGCAGAGTCTTGAAAGGCAGAATCCCCATACCTATTGTGGCCTGTGGAAAGGTTTGTGGGATCCTTCCCGTGGGAGACATCCCCCTTCTGGGAGTGGCTTCAGGCGAGTACAAGCAGATCTTCACCATCGCGATGGACGAGGCGCGCCGGAGCGCAAGAATGATCCGGACTGAGCTTTGCGGCTCTTTGGGGGAAAGGGTCACGAGGGTTCCACTTTGTGACTATTCCAGGGTAGACTTAAACCCAGGGGTGGGTCGTTATTCCCAAAAGGAGAACCCCTGGGTTTAAGCCTATCTTGGGGTAGTCAAACAGTGGATTCCCGCACGAAGGGACTTTTGCAGGCGGTACAGGTGTCCGGGATTTTGTTTCACACTTGCAACATGCAGCTTGCGGCTCTTCCACCGAAACATAGCTTTGATAAGACGAGTTGGGTTGGAAACACAGATGAACCTTGAGTCCCTGATGATGAAGGCAAACATGGTTTCATCATGTCAATTTTTGAACCGGTGGTTATCCCAGCTGCTGGATACACTACTGCTGTTTGTCTCTAGAGCAGTTGGCACTTCCTGCCAAAGCGCCCGGATGTCGCACACGGTAAGTCTGATTCTTGGTGATTCCTGGCAGGTGTTTCTCACGACTTGTTCTTTTTATCGGCAAATTATTCTTAACATCAAACAAGCAATACAAACCAAAAGGAACGCATTTTTTTCGGGTACCCTAAAAAAACACATACACCAGTTTGTTTCTTTTTTTTTTTTCGGCCCCGTCCTCGGTGTGCCACGTGCTGAAAACCGACTTGGGTAGGTGAAGGTTGGGGATAGTCTCAGGCGAAAAACATGCAATGGGCGTAGCTATCCGCCTTGGCAACTCTTTACATGGGTTTGGGTGAACCCCAATCTGATACCGATCGGTTTTGATTTTGACTCAGGTGGGTTCCCCGTTGTCCCTTTCAAAGCGTCAGGTGCTCAATTTCTCTGGCGCTGAGAGTCCTGGGCTACGGTGGGCAAGAAATTGAAGATCTCCACCCCCTCAAAAATGGAATTGGGGGAGGGGGGTGACCCCTGGAATTCCATTGGTGGTTCCATTTTCCCTTTTATGGGGAAGACTAAATAAATGGAATTGGGGACCCCCACCCTCCTTTATTGAAGGATTGGCACTGCTTCTGGGTCACCTCCGTCACAGCGCGCTGGTTCCTAAGAAAGAAACTTTCGGTTCTGAGGAATGTCTGAGACCCTGTGACTCTCTCAGGGACTCCTTGAAAACACGAGAAGAGGCTTTCTGTTTGGCCAAGGCCACCGTTGGGCCCCCAAAATGAGGCAAAACATAGCGATCCGGAAACAGCATTGTTTAAGCATATTTTCTCACTTTGTTCGTTCAACAAACAGAGTTTGACAAGCTGATAAAGAGTCTCCCTCTCTTCAAGGCTCCCCCCGCAAAAACAAGAAAGAAAAGAAGAAAAGAAGAAAGAAAGAAAGAAAGAAAGAAAGAAAGAAAGAAAGAAAGAAAGAAAGAAAGAAAGAAAGAAAGAAAGAAAGAAAGAAAGAAAGACAGAAATAAAGAAAGAAAGAAAGAAAGACATAATAGGGCTGGAAGGGCCTTTTAGAGGTCCAGATCAACCTGGCAAGTGGGGACACAAAATCGAGTGGTTCTGGACCTTGTCAATCTTGAGGGGCTTGGGTTCCTCTCATGACCTCATGTTTACCGGTTCCAGTTGAAGCATGGTTTGCGTTTCAGGCAAGTGGTGTTCTTTTAAACTGAAGGTGACCGGTATCAGAACCCCTGATCCAACCCCAACTGGAGTGCATATGCATGCTCACGGAATCTTCGAGAAGATCCCCAGTTTCCCAAAACCCGTTTAACCTGCGAACCAGCAAGATATCCGTGTCAACGCGTTCGAGGGTAGCCTTGGCTCGATCCTTTTTGAATCCAAAAGGAAGCCCACCATTTGAGCGTCCTATTTTGAGCAGCCCCCTTATTTCCCCCCTTTTTGTTGGTTGGTGTATTTCCCGTTTCGGCTGATGTAAACCGCGAGCTCCCAGCTGCCCTCGCTTTCAGCAGAAGCCCAGAAACCCGCGGCTCCGGGAGGCTTTGGCGGACGACCCGCTGCGGCGCCTGGGCGCCTTCGCGCAGGGCGCGCGCATGGTCTCCGCTGGCCCAAGCTTCGTGGAGAAGGCGGTGGCCCAGGCGTCAGCGAGGGAGGAGTCTCGGTTTTCGGTGCGAGAGATGCGGGGGGAAGGAGAAATGGTTGTGGCTCAAAAAGTGGTACCCATTGTCTGGCTCCTTGAATAGAAACAAAGACCAAAATCTGCGTAACCCCAGCTTTTAAAATTTGAGCCACACCCAAATAGAGTCTGACCCCAACATAAACCATCCAACTAGTGGTCTCCTTTAAGGGAATCCCCAGGTTCATTCCCACGTTCCCTACTGCGTCTAGCAAACCGAAGTCCCTGATTTCGGGGAGAGACCATGGCTTGATGTTTTCTCGGGGGCCCTTTCTCAGCGCAGTTTGGAAAGGAAAAAGGGAAACCACTCATGAACAAACTCCATATGCCTTGGAGACAATAGGTTGAATTGGTGTCTTGAATAGGGCCTTGTCAGCTTCCCTCTAAATGGTGGTTTTGCTTGGTGGTTTGGATGGGGGGTACCTTCCCCTTTGGTGTGAACAGGTACTGGGGTTCCAATTCCCAGCAATCCTAGGTCCCCCAGTAGTGCCCTTTTACCCTTTTTTGGGGGAGGGTTCCCCTACTAAAGGAGACTACAGTAAAAAAGGGTACCCTTATTCCAACTTCTCTATCCAAACCACCAAAGGGTTCCCTGAACTTGGCCCCCTGGACCAAGAAAGTCAAACAAAGGGGGCCGGACAATGCCAGGCCCTTGAGGTCGCTCGGCAAGTGGGGCCCTTTGCCTGCCCCGGCTGCGGCCTCTGCCTCTCGGAGCCTTCGGGTGCAATAGGAACATCCTTAGACTGGAAGATCAACGTTTCTCAAAGGTACCCCCTGTCAGACACCATGTCAATGAGAGGGAGGGTCTGCTATTTGTTTGTCTGGGGTGGGGGAGCCTCCTTTTGCTGTTGGTTGGTTTTTAAGGCCCAAAGGACGCCGGCCACTTTGCGCCCACCGTTTGGAAGCTGGCACTCACCTTTCTATCCTCCGAACGGTTTCTTTCCCTGTCACGCATGTTGTGACTTTGGGTGCATCGCTTTTTTAGGGGACCCCCCCCAAAATGGCTTCGGCTTTCCTCTTCAACTCAACAAGGGCGTCTATGACAGGAGTCAATGACAGAAGCGCCCCTCATGCTTTGTCTCCATTCGGGACCGCCAAAATGAAGCTCCGGCTTTCCTGTGGCCTGAAGCAAAGGGACGGCCGCAAAACGAGATGGTGTTTGTGGGAGTCTTTGTCCCGGACTTGAATCTGACTTTCGCCTCTGGCAGAGGATTTAAAATGGGCCCAACCTCCTGGAAGTCAACACAAGGACCATACCAAGACAAAACGAGGTCCTTTGGAGAGATGAATATGATTTTTATAAGATCTGTGGGCAGAATGTGCCTGGTGCTTGCAAAACAGCATCGGACTAGCCAACTGCCTTAACACGTACGCGCCATTGTCCAAAGACCCTGTTGACCTCGGGATTGATAGTGGACACTTGAGACAGTGATGGGGGGTGCCGGGGGGGGTGAATCGTTCGTTCCAAGATTCCCACTGTATAATTACAGGGATTTTGTTGACTCTTGCTTGGACGCAACATTTGTTGCAACAACCCTGAATATTTGATCAGCTTTTGCCGGCTGCAATAGTAACAACGCCAGCCAGTCACCGTCAAGTTGCCCCACGTGCTCCCTTGTGAGCCGGTGTCGGGCTGGCTTCAAGAAGATCCGTCTGGGATTCATTGCCCAATGGCCCAGAACGAATCAACCTTTCATGATTTTCACCAGGGCTAAGGAGGACACATGTTCATGCACCTCGTTGAGTGCCGCATTTACCCATTGGTAGGGAAACACGATGTTCAAGTATTCTAAACCGAGCGAGACATGTTGCAACACATGGCTTTGGAATTCTTCCGGGTTCCTTGGGGCTCAGCTGGCTCAGGAGGATGCGCTCCACCTGCACATGCACTTCCACCACGCGGTGGAGAACTTACCCAAGGCGAGGGTTGCACCAAAGTTTGCCTCAGACACATGGCACGGGGCCTTCTTTGGGCCTTTTGGCGACCCAAAATTCATATTGAATGACTCACTGCCTGAGTTTCTGAGTTGGGGTGGAGGTAGGTAGGGTTCCTACTATATACTTTTTGGAAAGACTGATTTAGTTCCACGCAGGAAGTGAGATGCCCTTGGCCAGCCAACATTCCAGCGCAAGGAAAAGAGCATGTGGGGGTTGATCGATATTCCTGGCCCCCAAATGTGGTTGGCATATCGTCTCGTTTTTGCGTGGTTTTCCACCCAACGGTCATCCCATGTATTTTGTTGACCCTTTGATCAACCCCCCCATGTATGAACCATTTCCTTTCTTCGGTTTGCTGAAATGAATACTTTTTGTTTTACATATTTTCCCTTGTTCGTTCTACCGCGAACCGATATCACTGCTGCACACATGTTCTTTCCATGTTTTCAGGCGGCCTCGGAAAAGAAAAAAATGGTCGCAATGCGGAGGTCATCGAGGCCTCCAATCGCCATGGCGTTTTACCCATGGATTGGTGACATGGATGTGTGATTTTTCGGCCTTCGTGCTTGTGATGTCAGGTAGCCTCAATTGGGGGTTTGGCCTGGATTTGGCATTGAAGCCTGGGTTCTTGTAGAGTGTTTCTGGGAAACCCAATCCAAACCGCAAACCAATCCAAACCACCATCCAATGCCTTGACCACCTAACCACCAACCACCAAACCACCCCACCACCAAACCACCAAACCACCAAGCCGACTGCAGGCCAACCAAACCACTCCATTCTTCAGACCACCAAACCGATTCAGCTCCAAGCCGCCACCAACCGGGACGCCGATTCGCCGCCTCAATCGCCACGAGGCGCCCTGCCCCATTTGCGGGGAGCAGGAAGGCTCCGTGGCGGTCCACGTGCACAACCGCCATGGCCCGCCGCTCGATGCCTCGATGACGCGGCGCGCGCGTGTTGGTCGTCGTGTTTTTTTTGGGTTAGTTGGGCGCCCCTTTTTGTGGGCGGTGCCCTGTCCGGTTCCAGAAGGTTTTGCTTTAAAACAAACATGGGGTGTGGTCATTTACACAAAGTTGAACTTATGGCAAGGGAACTAAGGACAGCGCAGTTGTTTCGTCTTTTTTAAAAGGGAAACCAAAGGCAAACCACCATTTTGGGGGTCCCCTAAAACACAAACAAACACACACACACCCATGTGGTGTTTCAAGGGGCAAGCGGCAATTCTCTTGGCTCCTATTGCAGGAAAGACCCACGTGCAAAAAGTGATGCGGACCTTGTGTTGCTGGTTCAAAACAACAACTCCCATATTCCAACTGCCTGATCGTCTGGAGACATGCAGTGAACCGCTTTCACCCGGACAGGGTCCACGCGAATTAAATGCATGAAGCCTCTCAAGGGACGACTGGGGGATGTTTTTTCCTCTGGTGGACTTTCGATTCTTCGATCATTGGGAGCCTTTCCGAGGGCCAGTTGTGTTTGCTCTCATAGAGGCCCAGAAACAGACCTCTCCCGACCGCTGGAGTTCGGTGAGCCAGGAAGCAACAAGTGTAACAAGGGGCATGCCATCCGCTCGTCTTTTTTTTCGGGGGTACCCCGTGTTCATGGTTTTGATGGGAAGCCAAACGGATTTTTTTGTTTTTTTTGGGGGGGTCCAAAACAAGAACAGACACACCCATTTTTTGTGTTTTTTTTTGGGGGGTTCCCAAAATAGACAGACACGCCCACATTTCGACGAGCAACACGTGCCAGCGCCCCACGCTTTTTGAGCTCAGCTGAGGTCGGACGCACGAGAGCCACCGAGCGCGCCCTACGCGACCTTCGCATGGTGCGTGTGCCGACATCCGGATGGCCGCTTCCTGCTGCTTGGTCCAAAGGCGGTTTTGGTGTTGAATTACTTAGGCTCGGAAAAAGGCTGATATCCATGCTGTTCGGCTTAGGGTTCACATTGGGTTTGGGCCTGGCTCGGACCTAAATTTGTGCTGGAGGTGCGGCTGGTTCGGAAGTGGCTTTAAGCTTGCTTTATGGTGGACTACTGGGATGTTGCCCTGAGAGCCACCAGACCTAGTTCGTAACAACACTCAGACCTTTTTCTTTAAAACAACAAAACAACTCTACCAACCATGATGTCTCAAAGAGTGCCTACCCCAAAGGTGGTTGTCTTAATCAGACCGAGTTCCTACACGGCGCCACGGTGCCTGGCCTGCTTTTTTTTCTCCTGGGGCAAGATGATACTCGAAAGTTTGTCCTTCTCAGGCTGGTGAACGAGCCTGCGGGCATCTCAGGCGGGTTTGGATTGGCGGCTTGGCTTTCGTAGAGGGTTTGAGGGGGAAACCACGCCATATCTCCCCACCGAACCTTAAGTTAAGGTCACCCTTTGGCGGTTTGGATTGTTGGCTTTGGAGTTGAAGGGGTCCCTGGCTCTGGTAGAGGGTTTGCATGGGAAACCGTAAACATCCCTTAGCCACCAAACCAATCCACGCTGATGCTTTAGTGAGCTCGACATGTCTGAAATGAACTTTGGCGAATACATAAAACTTACCCTTCCTCCCACAAACAGGAGGCACCTGTGGGAGGGTACCTGGAAGATCAGTTTGCGCTTCAATGGCCCTCCTTTTAGGTGCCATGTTAGTGACGTTAGAGGGGAAGGGTAACGCTTTTCAACCGTTTTGGGGTTTCTAATAAATGGCAAATATGAGGGTTTCTGTAAAGAGAACCACGACCACGAACCGCGCCTTTTCACTTATCCTTCGTTGCAACGGCCGATAATGGCCGGCCGGCCAAGAAGGACGCACCCATGGCTTTCTGGGATTGCCATATAGCATGGAGTTGTACGGTTGAGCATTGCGAGTCCTTGCGTTGGTGATTGTCAACATGATTCATGCGATCTTGTGACAGCCAAGGATCATGCCAAGATTCATATGGGCCTTGCTGGTAAAAGCAAGGAATGCCATGAATGTGGTGTTCATTTCTGTGTGCAAACTGAGCCACAAGCTGTAGTGTTGACTAGTTCAGGTCCCACAGGAAAGCCCGATGGGGTTCACTAAAAGTCGCAGGCCTCGCGCCTGGGGTAAGTTTCAAGATTTTCTCTCTTTTTGTTGGGTTTCCTCAAAACATTGTTTTGCTGGGTTTCCTCTTTTATTGTGGGGGGGGGGGGGGTTGGGTCGTTTGGCACAACCCATCAATCCTGCCAGAAGTGAGCCGATCAAACCAGTGGGTAGCGGCCCGGCCAGTCTCCAGGCGGCCGGCCGGGCTTCTGGCTGCCTGCGGGCCGCGTGGACCATGGAGAATCTCTGCAGGAGGCCTTCAGCGTCCGGAAAGCTCTGAGCGCTTCAGGGACGGAAGGATTTTTCCGGCAACCCTCCAGTGGATTCCCTTGGGGGTTGAGTTGTGTTTAGTTGATTTTTCAGGGTTGGGTTTTTGAATTTAGCCCACGAAAAGTTAGGAACTTTGAGAAGGACCAGCAACAACCAATTGTTTGGCCCATCCACTCAGGCCGTGAGATTCGCGGTGGCTTTCGAAGTCTCGCCACACTCCGCCAGGCGTGCGTCCGAGAGGCCTTGGAAGAGGCCGGCGTCGCCGTGCGGGTCACAGGCGCGGAGAAGCGAACCGCGGAAAACGCACCGCGCTCAGTCGCCCGGGTGGGGGTGAAGGGCGCCATGGTCGTTGGGAAACGGCTTTTACATCTTTGGCTCATGGTGGTTTTTCGTGGTTGAAGTCCAACCACAGCTGAACTGCTAAAATCTGATGAATTGTTGCTCCCCGAACCCAACGTCAAGCAGGATTGACGGTGGTTTCTTTAGCATGACCCTTTGGGATCGAAAGTGAGTTTCCTTTTGCCAGGGGAATCTTGTGAGAAGTTGCTCCATGACATGCTCGAAGAATGCTTGACGCGAATTTCCAGGCTGCACAACAGGTGTTGCTTTCTCTGACACATGATTATCCCTTCATATCTCCTTGTCAAAAGCGTGAAGAGTTGGGCTTGATCCCTTTCAAGTCCCATACTGTGGCTGGACGAAATCCATTCGCACCGCCTAAGAAACCATGGTTGAAGCCATTCTTTGTTAGCATAAACCAGGGGAGTCGAATTCTTCCAGGAGTTTCTGCACGGTGCGAACGTATTTCGCAACCATCCCTTCTCCGGCCACAGAGTTTTATCCCCAACGCCTGGAAAAGGCCCCAGGGCCTTTTGTTTCTCCGTCGGCGAGGATTCGTGGGGCCCCTTATCTATTTCGTTTCACGGAGTTGGTGAGTCGTAGGCCACACGAGAAACCAGTGCTCGAAACTGGGCACAGGTGCTGGGTTTCCATTCGATTTCCCCAAAAGAAAGCGTCCGAGCCGGAAGCCGCGCCAGGCGTGCTGCGCATGATGGTTGACAGCCAGCAGACCCTCCGTGTCGTCTTCCTGGCGGAGCCAGAGGAGGGCTTGGGAGATTTTTTGGGCGCCGCGCGCGGCCCCTCTCAACTTCTCCACTGGGACAACTAGACATACCCTTCCATTTGCTTGTCGGTGTTCAAGGGAAATTATCACTACTGGATTTTTTTTCCCCATGGTGCTTAAGCAAACGGAAGTACCGGCTGAGTGCCACACTAGCACTGCACTTGGAAGGAGTCAAACTCCAGTTACCTCTGGTTAAAGTGTTTTTCTTTCCATGGATGGAACATACGACTTGCAGGGGCTGCTTAGTTGGCGTTGGCGCCGTTCGTTCGGGAAATCGGTCCTGGCTTGGGCCATTTTCCTGTGAAAGGGACCCCCCCGTCAGGTTCCATGTTAATTGGTGGGTCAAAGAACCTTTGGCTTTGTTTCCCTGTAGTGCCCTTTCTCACCCCTTTTTTGGTTGGGAGGGTTCCCCTACTAAAATTATACTACCGAAAAAAAAGGGGAAAGAGTCGGGTACCAACTTATTCCATCCTCTCAAATCTGCACCTAGACTTTCCTCCGTCCGACTCCCATTCTCGTTTTGGGAGAACCGGAGGCTCGAAAAAAATCAGGACCCGGCAGCGCAGCCCAAGAGCATCCCGGACTGGGAGAGCGTGGGTGCCATGTGGGTCACCGCGCCTCGGCCGTCAAGCTGAAGGAATCTCCGGCTGTCCCAAGGAGAAAAAGGGTCGAGCCTCGCTGGCAAACCCAGCCATCCGGGTTCCTTACCCCAAATGGCACTTTCCAAGAGGAAAGTCGTCTTTCCACAGGGGTCTGTGTAGGTGTTTTTGTTTCTCCTTTTTTCGGCGTTTGGTTGGTTTAGTGGTGGGGTTTCCGAGTTGAGTTCACTAAAAGTTAGTCACTTTTAGGGGATCTGAAAACGGGCAGCCCAGGTTCGTGCTTGCCTTGCTTCCGTTCCTTGAAGTGTGTTTTGTTCTGTTCAGTGGATGGAGCTACGTGCCATTTGCCGAAGAGTGCACCAGGCTGAGTTTGACTTTGCAAGGCTTTCGAGGGGTACCTTCCATTTCCATTCTGAACCCAGGGATCCTTCTTTCCAGGGGAAAAAAAAAACAAACAAACAGGGAAACAGCTGGTTTTTGAACAGAATGAGGAATCAACCCCTGGAAGCTTAGCTACATTTCCTTTGACAAACCCATGGAGCCGAGCGCAAAGTCGGGGACATCAAGCTAGCGAAGGGCTCTTTGGGATCGATTCATCGATTCTCCAAATCCAGTGGTTTTCGCCCCTTTTTGCCCCTTTCTGATTTTGTCTGGGGAAGGGCTCCCCAACTCAACCAGCCAAAAACGGATGTCCTTTTCTTGCTGACGCGGGAATGTGGGAATGACCCCCTCCAACCATCAGTTGTGGTTTCCTTTAAGGGCGACCAAATCCTGGGTCCATTCCATCCAACTCACTCCCTACCCATCTTCCATTTGCTTGAGAATATCCCTTGTTGGTCTTAAAGGGAATCTATCACTACTGGAAACATGTTTATGGCTACCTATCGCACCCAGCGGGTTTTTGTCCCGAACGGAACTCCTCGCATCTCAGGTGGAGGAGCTTCAGAAGCTCAAGGCCGGCGCGCCGATTTTCTTTTTCGGCGGTTCGGGGCGTACGAGGGAGGAACCCGGCGCCGATCGCAACCCCAAAAGGATGGGATTTTTTGTTGTGTGCAAGGGCAATTTCGTTGGAAGCTCGCAAAAGAAGAAGAAGAAGCAGAAGAAGAAGAATAAGAAGCAGAAGAAGCAGAAGACCTCTCCGGTCCGGAAGTTTTTTTCTTTTTGCGGTCAGTCACTTGCCGTCTTTCGACTTGGAAAGAAAGCCGCAACCGCGGAAGACGGAGGCAACTGAAAGACCGGGCTTCTTTTCTTGGCCGCAACCAGATGCAAGCGCAAGAAGTCATCTGATCGTGGGCACTTGTTGTGAGCAAACATAGTCGAATCAACTGATATCAAATCCACGAACCAGCCGACAACCAGTTAGTACTGATTTCAAGAGCATTGCCGGCAAACCTCCGGCTCTCTCGGTGCCGTGCAATAGCGACAAGTGTTTTTTGTTTCGCACGAGCAAGTCGCATACACAGAGACTGCAAAACAGTTAGACAGTTGCAACCCTGACAAGCTGAAAAGGAGAGAAACAAGCACATACGATGAACAGACACATACGGTGACCTCACTTTGCAACACATGGCTGTGGGTCAAAACCAATGGTACCATTTTGGGGTAGGTGCACCACCCATTTTAGTCTATTTTAGTGGGGATTGGGATGTTCACGTGGGGTACGGGATTTGAACCCATGGCCATATTGGGTCAACGGCCATTGCCCGGACCTCAACAAGGGGTTTAAGGTACACATACCCCATGCCCACTGACTAAAACTGTTGTATTGGGGTGGGAGGGGGAACTAGGCTTCCAGGGTGAAATGCACCCACCAAGCCGCCACCCGTCCAAGCGCCGCTAAGTTCATCAAGGGTTTGGCAAGGAGTGCAACCACCAAGCCGCAGTTTGGGGCAAGCATCATGCCAGTCCTTGGGCATCAATACTAGGTCCCCCAGTAGTGGCCTTTTACCCTTTTTTGGGGGAGGGTTCCCCTACTAAAATAGACTGCAGGAAACAGGGTACCCTTATTCTAACCTCTCTACTGGAGGACCTAGAATAAGTCATGGGCCCCAGCATGTTTTGCAACATGCTTACGCCGGATCACTGTCGACTGATGTGGATGTCAATCAAAGAAGGCAGAAAATCGATATGTTCCACAACAAACACCAGAGATGGCTCATTGCTGGGGCATGGCGGTTGACAAATACAACCTTATTTGCTAGTCAATATTGAAGGTTGGATGGGTGGGTTGGTTGGAAGGACGCGTCACCTCGAGCCCGCATTTGGCCGCAGGAAGTACCAAGATGACAAAGGAATGGACGGAAGATGCCAAGGGAAGCAGTCTCAAAAAGACAGCTTGCGACATCTCCTCGATCTATTATCTTCTTCGTTATGCCTTCATTATTATTCTGTTTGCATTTGAAGTCTTATGAAGGTATGAGATGAAGGAAAGGGATGGATAAGACGGTGCCCAGACAAGAAGAGAACTGGCTTTTGGTCACCATTTGTCTTCTCCATCCATAACTTTCCGCCATCCTGATGTTTGATTGGGAAGCCTCCATCATATTGTCGCTACAGCGGCTTAATTTAAGCAGACAGCTTTCGAAGGTCATTCCTCTGGAGAAAAATCGGGCGGAAATACAAGGGTTGAAAGAGATTACGAGATGATAGCGAACGAACAATAAATTGGGTGAGGGTTGACGAGCAAGTGGCTTCTCTCCTCTCTCCAATCCGCGCCCTCACCCTACTTCCTGTGTGCTCCCAAATAAGCAATATTGATAAGATTTAAGAAGCATTTGGGATCTATTGGACAGAAATGAAGGATTATGAATCCAGAATTGTCATGCTTTTATTTTGCCTTAGTATTCATATATACTGTAATTCTGGATTTATCAGTATCCTTCACTTTCCCTCATGCGTATCTTCTCTCCACCCAGCCCTCACGGTCTAATTCATGAGCCGGACATGGGTGGATAAGGGACGTGAAGGATGGCGAGAAAGGAAGGTGACGAACGAATCATCCCAACTCTTCCATCCCATCCCTTCCTACCCACTTCCAAGCCTATCAATCATCAACAGTGGATGGGTGGGGAAGGGATGTGACTCACTCCCTCACTCGCCCGCAGAGCGTCCATGAGTCTTTGATAGTGACAGGAACTCCAGAAATAATCCAATATTAAGGAACCTAAACCTGATATCTGATGGAGTTTCCTGTCCACTGACTTGTCCAACAGATAGAGAGAGGACGGGGAATTAAGACCATCTCTCCCAACTAATGCACTCGCCTAGAAGCCGTTAAGGGAGAGATGACCACCCGTCACCTATATGTACTTTCAGAATCTCATTTACAAGCTGGTGATGCCTCGCTCACCATCTACTTTCTCTTCGCTAGTCTCAACAAAAGAAAAGGTTATGGAAAGAAAAAAGCACATTGGATCGCAGCAACATATTTCCAAGTTACAAGCCATCCAGTTGTATGCTGTCATGTCTCTTCCTCAGAGAGATATCTTTAGATCCGACAGGACTCTCCCGGCCATGAGGACTCACTCCCTGAGTTCCGTTTCGGACTTTTACAAGAACGTCCTGCCTTTTGGCTCAAATCTCTCGATGCCTCCTCTCCTGGATAACACAAATGCTGTCGGTGATTTCCATGCTTTCCCAAAGCCAAAGAAATGCTAGTGCCAACCATGTCTCCTGACGACTTCAGACTTGCATGCTCCAACCTCCACCCACACCCACCCCTCCCCACGCACCCATCCCATCCCATCCCATCCCGCCCCGCCCCGCCCCGCCCCGCCCCGCCCCGCCCCGCCCCGCCCCGCCCCGCCCCGCCCCGCGCCCCGCCCCGCCCCGCCCCGCCCCGCCCGCCCCGCCCCGCCCCCCCGCCCACCCACCCACCCGACGGAGTTGTTGTTTTTCGAGGCGGAGCACTACCGGCACCCAGACCCCGCGGAGCTCTTCCCCCCAGTTGCCGCCGGCAAGCTGCAGCCGCACCCCGTGCCACGTCAGCCCAGAACCCGGCCCTTCTGACCCATAGTCTCCTTTTTGGTGGGTCAAAACGTCAAAACCAATGGGATCCCATTTTGGGGTAGGTCCACCCATTTTGGGTTCATAGGTTCATGGGTTCATAGGGTCCTTTTTAGTGGTTTTGGTCGAAAAATAGATGGCGATTCCTGGTTTACCTGGTGGTTTAAGCATCTACCAGGCCATCTATTTCCCCTAAAAGGACTCCTATGTTTTGAGCGCGGATGCGGCGGTCGCCGATTGGGGGGGACCAAATGCACACGGAGTGGAGACGCCGGAGGGTCCAAAAGAGGTGGCCTGTTTGTTTTTGGCTGAGGCTTGTTTCGCGGCCAAAATACCAAACGAGGTAGAGGTGTTGTGTTGGGCCGAGGAATGTCTTTTGCGGCCGAAAAGGGTACCACAAGACAGGGAAGACACAGAAAACCACTATGGACTCTTTTTTAAGCAAAAAGTTGACACTCCCCCTATGTGCTATCGTCAAAAGACACCTTTACTTGAGCTTAACATTGGTCCATCGAGGAAGCCTCAAGAATCATAATTCTAAAACAGGTTCCTATGAAGGATCCCCCCCACTCCCAAAAAGGAACAAAACACCTCAAAAACGCACACAAGAAGAGAAACGACACCTATGCTCCTGGTTTTCACCCGCCCCCGCCCCCCCAAACAAACAGCGCCCGCGTTTTCAGCGCCCAAAGACCGCCTCACGGCCCCCGGCGCGCGCGTCGCTTCGAGCGTCGCTTCGAGCGCCGCTGGCGCATCCAAGGTGGACACGGCGGCCTTTGTGGAGCTGGAGGCGCTGATCCGGCGCCTCACCAAAGGCGAGCGGAAGGCGAGAGACGTGGCAACTCCCTCCGCGTTTTTTTTTTTGAGAAGGGGGGGGGGGCGGGATGGGGGGGACGGGGGGGATTGGGGGGGATGGGGGGTAGGTTTGTTTTTTGGGGGGAAGCCAGATGCTTTTTATTTTTGTTCTTCCAGAAGAGCCCCTCATGGGGGGATGGGTTTTTTGACAGACAGGGATTGAGTAGTGTTTGTTGTAGTTGTTGTTTGCGTACCTTTTTTTTTGGGGGGGGGGGAGCAGATGCTTCTTTTTTGTTGGGGGGAGGTTTTTTTGGGGGGGAGGTGCGCGCCAGATGCGCTTTGTTTTTCTTTTGAGGGGGGAGGTGCGCCAGATGTTTTTTTTTTTTTTTTCTGGGGGGGGGGGGGGGTGGATGGGGGAGGTTTTTTTTTTGGGGGGAGGTGTGCTCCAGATGCGTTTCGTTGATCCTTTGGGGGGGGAGGTGTGCCCCCGAGTTTGTTTTTTCCTGACAAATGGTGTGATCACCTTCAAACATGGGAACCACGGAACGTAAGGAACAAGTTGTGCGCCAGATGTAAAAAAAAGGGGGGGGGATTGGGGGGATGGACCTACCAAAGGGCATGCCCCAGTTCAGATAAAATCCCCTCAGTCAACCACTTCAACCATATTAACCAACAGGGGCACGCCACCTCAGCCAATTTTACCACCTAAATCCCAAAATCCCAAATTCCCAAAATATATTTTCCCAAAATCCCAAAATATAACATCCCCATAATTTCAAAACATAAATCTTACAATGTTTTTTATTGTAAGGTTTATGGGATGTCCCTCTTTTAGGGTTAACTGCCTGTCCGTCCGCGCTACGACTTCTTCGTGGACATCTTTGCTATGTGCGCCCATGTGCTGGGGGGTGGTGAAAATTGCTCAGAATGTTGCAGAATGTTCAACTTGACCAAGCAGTTTTGAGCTGAATACCATGCTTGAACGGAGCACTTTTTGGCACAGGAGGTTTTTGCTCTCACTGAGCATTTTCCTTACCAGCAATGGCTGTTCGTGTGAAAGTGGATATGTATTCCATCATGAATGCCACTCTTGCAATGAACCTGCAAGATGTGGTGAAGGATGCAAAAGAGTTGCTGGAACAAGCAACGGGAATAGACCATAAAACCATGGTCTTGAAATATGGCAAGCACAAGGGGGTGATGGCCACACTGGAGGATGAGGAACAGTTTAGCGAGCTGGGGTGCTTCCTCAACCCCTTCACTGGCAACTATACCATCAACATCATGCTCGCGAGCCCTACCGTAGAGGCTTTGAAGGTTGTCAATCGGCTCAAGGCTCTTCAGGATGAGGTGGCGTTCAACGGCATGGATAAGATGGAGAAGGACGGCTTGACCATTACCTACCGTGGAATTTCTTTGACATGCCAAGGCGCTGAGCTTGATGACACAGCACCGGAAGAGCCCTCGTCATCCGCCCCAGCTTCTGCCCCTACACCTGTTGAGAAGAAGCCCGCCTCTTCGTCTACTGCCAGACCTGCAGACCTTCAGGGTATGAAGCGGATGATGAAAGAGCTTCATGCAGAAAATGCTGAGATGAGCTACCGCATCAAGAGGAACACTAAGGACCTCCGTGAGCTCTTGAAGAAGTGCCGAGACATGGAGATTGACATTGTGTTGTTGCGACCTTCTGGTGAGAAGTTCACTGTCAAAGGTTGCCCTTCATACTCAGTGTCCAAGTTCAAGCATCGCTTGCATACTGAGTATGGCTTCCGCTACCCCCACCAGCGCCTCATCCGGAACAACGCAGATGGCATGGCTGTTGAGCTCCAGAACACCCGCAAGCTCTTCAGCTACGGGGTGGAGAACGATGGCGACCAGATATACTTTGTGATGACCGGCGGTGAGGTTGTTGCCACCCCTCAGACGCCAGCTGTTGAGGTGTCATCTTCGTCAGAAGAGGATGAGATTGTGGGAACTCCTCCTATGTCAGATGATGATGCTGTCCAACTGCATCGGCCGGGCGATTGCGACATGAGCCTTGTGTCCATCAAGGACTACGCAAGCAAGAGCGTGATGTTTCACGGCGGGATTGACCACAGAATGGACTTGAAAGGACTACTTGACTTCGTGATGGTGTTTGAAAGCATTGAAGATGAGCAGAAAGATCAGCTTGTTTTCAGCGACGGCCGTGGCAGTCCATACTCATGGTCATTGACTGTGCAACAGTGCATGGGCACCGCTGGCTTTGACGGCTTCTACCTGAAGGTGCGTGGGTTGAGTGGTGGGGCTCTTGTCCGTGGTCACCTTTCCAAGCAACAGATGCTTGACAGGTTCAAGAAGAAGAGCCGAGACTTTGTCAAGCAGTTGAAGGTCATTGAGGATGAGGACGATGAGGCAACCTACGATGCCTCCATTGTGCCACAGTTCATCCACGAGTTCATGGAAGAGAAGCGCCAGCAGATCGCCAATGCTTCCTTCATGGCCTCTCAAGGCCGTTGCCCAGTCATGATGGCGCTGAAATCTACTCCAGATGACAAGTTGCTGGCAGTTGAGGCTCTCATGAAGCAGAGGCTGAAGGGCGCCAGCGAGCTCAGGGTGCTAAAGTCCATCAACCTCATGTTTCCCACCATGGCCGTCCTAGAACAGACCAAGTTGGGGCTCACCCTCATCCAGAAAGAGTTGGCTACATCCCTGCTCATGATGTATGCCACCCGCTACCATGAAGAATATGCAGGAGAGTTGCGCTACTGCCACAGTGGCTTTTTGAAGGACTTGGGTGAAGAGTTGGTCAAGCGTCAAGTTCGCCCCATGGCTGAGCCGGAGCGTGGATGTGTTTTGTCTTGAGCCACTGACGTGTGGCATTTTCACTAACGGAGGAGGAAATGACCTGCCCGCCATTTCGGGGCACCCTGCCCTCCTGCCCGCCATTTCGGGGCACCCTGCCCTCCTGCCCGCCATTTCGGGGCACCCTGCCCTCCTGCCCGCCATTTCGGGGCACCCTGCCCGCAATTTTGGGGCATTGTAATGTGATTTCTCCTCCTCGTTAGCCTTGCCAAGGGGCTCATTTCAGTGCCAGACAGCGCATTGGATGGGGCACATGCTTTGTGTAGCATCTTTCAGCTCAGCTTGAAAAATGTAGTGTTTCGGCATTTGCTGGGTGGGGGATTGAGGCAGGTTAGGTTGAAGGCAGGTGTGGTGTAGGTCTGACAGAAACCACCCTCCCTCGTTTTTTCCCCCTTCCCCCCATTTTCTTAGTGCTCGCATCTTTGTGCCCGCAGGTATCTTCATCATGGACTTTATCTACAAGGCTTTCCTCTACTAGGTATGGACGGGAGGAGTTGGGAGGGTTTTTTCTTATATTTATATATTATATAAGGGGGAAACTCTCGCCAATTTTTTGTTGCCCTGTTTGGCGATTGGCAAGAGTTTCTGGATATATCTATATATTTTTGGTGTTTTATTTATTTTATAAACTATGGATTATCCCCTTAAAATTCATCATTTTCAAAATTTTAAATTTCCTAAATTTTACTGTGTTGTCGTTGGATGAACCTAGAAATTTCAAGTTTGAACTCCAACCCCAACTCAAATTCCTTAATCTGTCAAACTCGTCAAAATCTCACAAATCAATTCAGCAGGTATTTTGTATAAATCTTCCTGCTTATGTATTACATAATTATCTCCCCATTCTGCTTTAGTTTTTGATGGCAGTCGTTGCGCAGTTTCAATATGTTTATTATTCCTTATTTTTCCACAATCTCTATTACATAAATCTCTAGGTGTCCAATTCGTAATGTTATTCCAAAGTCTAGTGCGTTTTCTGTAATTAAATCCATATTTGCAATAATCAACATCTTTAAAATCAAACTCATTCATAAACTCCTGATTTTTTAATAATCCAGTTTGAGGATTTTCGATTACAAAATATTTAGGATTAAAATATTTGATAATCTCAATAGTTTTTAAAACTATACTATTAGCATATTCAATATTCCTAATTCCCCTAGTTTTTGCTACACTATATTCAGTGCACGGGGGACTGCTCCAAATAAAATCAAAATGGTTTCTGTCAAATTGTTTATAATCCCATTCCAAAATATCACAATTAATATCAGCATTTTTCAAGTCTAATGAGATGACATTATAACCGAGTGACTTTGCTATGGTTCCTACACTTCCAGTTCCACTAAATAATTCTAATAAATTCATATTGTTTATTAGAATGATTTAGATAATGTTTTAGAAATATACATATTTATCATCTTCCTTAATAATCTTATAGTATTCTAATGTTTGTTCTTTTGGACTTTTGATTTGTCCCTTATTTAACATATCACAATATTTTTTACGCTTCGTGTCATAATCACCGCTGGGTCTGCCTATCCCTTTCTTTTCAAAGATTTTGTCAATCTTTTCCTTCTCTTCATTGTTATCTTTTGGTTCGTTTGCCTTTGCATCAAGTTTCTGGTCAATAGTTTTTATCATCTCGTACAACAGTTTAACATTTTTACTAACTGTCATTATTTTCTTTGATAGTTCAGAAATAGAATCATTCTCAACTTCAGACATTTCTATATATATTTATTTATATAATTATTTATTTAAATATTTAATTATTTATAAAATTGATTTAATGTAAAATCTACTCTTTAAGTACTAAATTTTCATCATTTGTTTAATAGTTTCCTGTGCTTCGTTATCACCATTATCGGATGGTGACGCATGCCTTCCCCATTTAAAAGTTATATTATGGACATCAGTTTCTAAGTTGATACTGTCTTTAGTTTTATCAATATTCATTTTCTTATCGTTTTTACTCAATTTGAAATTTGTCGGAATACACGAACATTTACAATTTCCTTTCTTTTGAATTTCTAATTCGTTCTTCATTGCTAACATCTTTCTACACATAGGACACTCAAACTCAATAACTGATGTTTCTTTAACAATTTCTTCTTCTTTGTCTTCATCTGTTGAAGAAACTGTAGTATCTGTTTTATTCTTTTTGTTTTTCTTTTTTCCCATTTATAT